CCCCAAAACCCCAAAACCCCCTTCAAGTGAATTTCGATAAAGTTTTTTTTTTTTAAATATAATACTTTACTTATTGTTTAATTAACTTCCTTATTTAGAATAAATCTAAATATAGTCTCAAATATTTCCTAGATCATCCAATTCATTTTTTGGCAAGGGCTAAAATTATAGTTCCAATAAGAGCGCTTATTATAGATAAAATCTCAAAATAATTGGGTATTTTGCCCTCAACTAGTACTTCGAGAATGAGCTAAAATACATTCTATAATTAACATATTGCCATTGTGATACCTCCCATTCCATATTTTAGTGAATATGTTAATGCTATAACTGCAGTAGTAAACGCAATCACAGCTATTTAAATAAACCAAATCTATGTCCAAGTATAAGGTAAGTATGTGAAGTGAGAATGTAAAAATAATAACAAAAATAGACTGCCTGAAATAATTTACTAATCAAGACAGAATCTAAGAATATCATATCCATTCTCTTACGATTTTCTAATAATCACAGTTGATATAGTCTAAACGGCGACTTGTATTAGTGCGAAAAATATAGGTACAAAGACTGTCAATGGTTCTTCAATTAAATGTCTTTAGACCGTGAAATTCTTTGAAATAGCAATCAAGAACACACAAACTACAATCAAAAGCATTCCAATATAATGCTTAAAATTGAGTCTTTCATTATATAAAAAGTAAAATACAATAGCAACTGCAAATGAACTTAGACTATGAATTGAAATTATCACACTTGGACTTACATCTGCTCTATAGGAAAAGTAAGCTATATAACCAATATTGAAATTCATAAATGTTGATAATGAACCTCGAGCAATAACACAAAATAAGCATATATACTTAAATCTCAAATTAGATTTATCATACAGTTAAGACTCTTATTTAATCCAGAGTTTCCCTTTCCTTTTCAAGCTTAGTCCAGCAAGATAAATTTATAAGAAAATTGGAGCTGCCATCAAACTAAAGAATTCTGCAAATGTTATTGAACTAGAATTATTTCTCATTCTGATTCCGTATGTTACAAAGTAATTATGAATGGAATAACCAAAAGCGCTAATTAGGGCAAAAATGATTGCAAGGTAATAATTTCATGCTCATTTATCTCTTAGCTTGAAATCATTTTCTAATGATAATTTTTCAGATATCTCAAAGTTAAGTGGAGTATTATCAGCATAAATATCTTTTCTATAGTGATTATCAAGACTTCTGTGGAGCTCTTTAGGGTTGGACATTAAATTTATATGAATAATTTATAAATTTAATAAGAAAGCACTAACTTTAATTATCGATTAGTTAATTATTATTTAGAATAATTTACTTATTAATATTGAATTGCAAATGTAATCTATACTATTCGGGGTTTTGGGGTTTTGGGG